CGATCAGCGCACGTGCAGGTGATACTTTGTTCCCATAGGGGACGATGGTGCTGCTCATAGATTAGTGACAGAATGACGAACAAGGCTGGTAGGGTGTAGAGCACTGAGAACGTGCCAATCTTTGTCATCAGATTGGTGAGTTTCGATGCGTTACACAGACCAGGGTGTTGCTTTTGCACCTGGAAACAGTACCATACTCTCTGGTAATAAGTTCAAAATTTCGCCTTTTCGAAAATTGTTAAAAATTTTCCTGAGAAGACTGATAGGGAACGAACCTCATTTCGTATCCTCCACAAATTGAAGAAACCAACGAAAAGGAATAGCACTCCAAGGGAGAAATAAAGGATCAGAGGTCCTACAAAGAAGCATAATTCAAGAAAGAATAGATTGAAATTATAACAAATATATCCTGGTACTTTGAGGTACTTCTTTGTTCCCTTTATCGCTAGAGCACTAAGAGCCTAGGAGTAATAGTGAAGCAGCTCACCTAGTACGAACATGCGAAGATGATTGACATCAGTGTTACCAACGTAACACATACCAGACACTGGATCGCCATCGATTGCATTGAAAACCTAAAATAGTTGTTTATTTATGGAAAGGAAAACTTCGCATAATAAATAATTCGGAAAAAATAAAACAAGATGAAGTAGTCATTACGTGGATGCTAGCTCATGGGCAAAACACTTCGCCCCAGGCGGGAATAGAACCTGCATTACTTCTCGCTTCGCGAGTAATAGTACTATGGATTACAACACCGTGGCATAGCTTCACCTTACCCGGGGGTGCCCACACTGTGGCCAAAAAGCGCGATTCACAATCAGAAAGAAGTCAAAATGACCTAAATGCAAGCCTCGGGATTGAACTGGTGACTTCGTAGTGATGACTGAGCTGCGGGACCGCCTGAAAGTGGAAAGGAAAGCTAGAGAAATCTTTGGGATCGCTGAAATTAAGGCCTTAACCTTCAAAAAGGTCGGATGTGGAACGATGGCGAGGCAGGGCGGTCAAAGAAGACAAAACACGCGAGAGATCACGCCGTTCGAGAGAGCACGCCGATATCGAGGTGGGTGGGAAGCGTTGCAACGGGGGTCGATGGTTGCAGGCCCGTAAGGATTAGCGCCCTAACCGCGCAACTTTTGCGGCGAAGCTGGAGTGATCTAGGTAGGTAGGGACCTTACAATTTCCCTCGCGGTATCCTTCCCACAGTCGGGCTAATCCGGCTGAGACATGGAAGTTTAACAAAAAAATCGTAGGGTTCCTCTTGTAATTCCACGGTACTGTATTCTGAGGGGGTTTTGGATTTTCAAATTTTTATTCAACAAGAGTCATCGAGACTAATGGTAAGAGGTCAACCTAGAAGATGCCGGGTCACAGTGCGAGAACCAATATCTGTTTTCTTCTGTACGACTCTGCCTCCTCGGCAGCCGCTGCATTTCTCTGTCCCAGCATAGGTGACCCGCCTCCACCCATTTTCGCCACCAGACCCAACGGAAGCACCACGTGAATTTTACAGATTCTCCAGATATTAAGTCCAACTTGTGGGCCACAGTGAAACGGAGTGCCCTTGTGCAGATGGCAAACCCCGGGAAACATGAATTTTCAGACTTTCCAACAGGAAGATTCAAACTTACTAGGACGATGACTGTCTGAGCGGCAGGTAGCAGCCAACCGACTGCATGGAAATGAGCGGAATAGCTGGCAATCGCCTCACTGGACCATTTTGAGGCAGCAGCCAGCACCCACGATAACGACAGGATAATCCACCAAACGCACGCGGCCATTCCAAAGAAATAGGTGAGGAGAAATACCTGGAAGACGGTATAGCTGAACAAATTGTACACCTTTAGAATTAGCATTTAAGACATGGACTTTTAAGACAGGGAAGTGGAAATTAGGATTTGACATCTTTCATTGATAGACCATGCACATCTGTAACATAGATGATCCCTTAAACATACTGTATGCTTACCGTAAGTTGGTGAATGAGTTTACCGTATCCACTAGATGGATACGGTAAGGTCTTTAGCTAACATTCAGGTATGTGACCTTAGTGAAAAAACAACGAATTGATGAATCAAGTGATCTACCTCCGCCACTTTTTCATTATAAAGGTCGCACTGAACCCGATAAAACCTACAACCCGAGTCTGCACAACCTCGAAATTCTTCAGGGTACTCACCACGAAGCATAAACTGCCATTGCCGTCATCGATTCCTTTAATTTTGTAGGCATCACAAGCGATCTTAAAAATGAAATATATATGAAGTGAATAGAAGCTATAATACATGTAACATTGCATAATGTAACAATTATCATCTTATTCCCCTACAATTAGCGCCTTATTTGCACCAGATGCCCTGCTGACCTCTCACTACCCCCGTATAGCTTCAGGAGTGCTTATCTATGGCGCTTACCTGCTCATGCCCAGCGGACACTCGAATAATAAATCCAACGGCGACCATCAGTTGACAGAAGACCAGCATGAAAATTGGCCTTTCCGGGTATTGGAATGATCGGTTTCGCTGAGAAACGTTAGAAATTGAAGCTGACAGGAGACAAGGAAAGCCTGAAATGATGAGATTTGATGAGTTGCCTAATAATTTAGATTTTTGAAGAAATCTCTAGATGATCACCAAAACCATCCAACTCTGAGATCAACTCCCTGCTGCCGGACCTGTAGCAAGAGCTCACATTGATACGAACACGGGAGACGTTTCCGACCTCAATGAGAAATTTTGAATAATCAAGGTCATAATAAACAAAATAAGCTAATTAAAGATGATAAAGAATAAGACATTTGGCGATTGATGAATCCCGTCCTGGAATGCGCCACGCATTCTACTTACATTCCGAGCCGTAGTGTATTTTGAATGCGACTTGGCCCATGCAATGACCTAGGGGGAATTCGATGTGCAGCATAATTCAGTTTATCCTCTTTTATCCTCTTCCCATAAGAATAGATCTTGTATCATTCACCCAAACCTAGACGAAATGGAAGAATTGTTGGATCTGGACCACGCACGATCGTAGGAATGAACCCCGGACCGGGGTCTATTCTAATTAGGGGGCCTGATGCAGCCTTACGGCGAACTAGTATGAACTTGAACATTCCAGCATCTCACGCATGTCAAGTGACTGCCCCCACCCCTAGACTGGCTACACTCTCACTGGCCTCGGAGCTACCCTTAGCTTTCTGGAAAAACTGCATCATGATGCCCTCCCTTACTGAGATAGACCCCCAGGCCGTTCATATGGCGAGATGGTGAGTGTCCTCATTTGTCACTTCATCACCTCCACTTCGCTAATTAGTATATGCTAAATATCATTGAATCAATGGACCAAGCCGGATACAGGATGTCCGTCGAGCTTATATCAGTATTCACTCATAACTCACCCATCGCTTTTGCATTGCTGACGGTTTGGAATGGTGGCTGACAGGAGCACTCGCATTGGTTCTGCAGGTCCTGTACGGATATGCCAACGTGTGGTCGGGGTGCTGATACCGGTGGTAATTCCTGCAACAAGTCTAATCAGCACTGAGCGACATTTGATGAGATGAATGCTCTTAGCAATTACCATGATCTTTGTCTGCTTAGGAGTGTCTGGAGGTGCTGCACAGATGTTACCAGTTGATGCCTGCTCGCTCATTGTGGCAGGCTCTCGCACGATACGTCTCCGGCCAGCGGAAACCATACCTGCAAAATTTGAAGTTCACCAATCATGTTGCCAGTACAGTCCGGTATTTTGCAAAGTAGATGTCAGAGGCTAACGAACCCAAACCAAGATTACTTCGAATTTTTTTAATTCCCGAACAATTTATCAAGTCTAGAACGTAATCGTGACGGAGGAAAGCGCTTTTTCCCACGGCGCTATCGCAAGATACGGGGCATTGGGGTAGCAGTGCATTAGAAGTCGCGTAAAACATCTCCTTTTTGTTAAAATCGGGACTAAGCCTTAGGGGGAGATTAGAGGTTCCAGGGTGCATGAGCAATTTTCATTTTCCCCAAGTTCCTGCCCTCTCCTAGAATCAGTCCTGAAGGAATGCCCCCGTATATTGCGATAGCGCCCTCCCTACTCTACCCTGCCCATCGTCCACAAAGATTTCTATGCACCCTTCCTTTTAGCTATTGAATCCTTCACTCCCCCTTGAACAATGCCTTGTCACAATGCGTCGGATACTAGCGACCTCTGCATCTCTAACTCTACCGTACTCACTGTTGCATGATCGGTGAGCAGCGCTTCTTGGCCTCCAAGCACAGTTCCATACACGGTAGGATAGGCCGATCATAGTTCTCTTGACAGATCGGCGTGTACAGAGTGCATAGGAAGAACTTCAGATGTTGGTAGCAACCGTACTGAAATTATTGCGGCGTTAGAACCCAGTTTTTTTAAGTTCCAGAGTCTACGATAATTACCGTAAGGTAGTGGGTACTGTACGAACCTCAACAAGCGGAAAGAACTGATGTACTTCTAAACCAGCTTCTTCTTGTTTCTCATGACCGTAGCTGTTCGGAAACGATGTCATGTTGTAACCGATGCCTTTGCAGAGTGGAATGGTGATCGGTTGGCAGCCTTTCGTGTACAGCATCGGTATCGTGCCAAAGAGTACCAGGAGAATCAGCAGCAGCAGCATGTTTAGACAGTCAGCTGCTCGTGGGGATTCTGAAAGATGAAGCCCATCGACAATTGTTATATGGACAAAAATAACCAAAGCATTCCACGATCAAAAGGAAATTTCGAAGCTGAACATAAGGAAAGGAACGCAAGAGGGTTTCCTAGAGATATTGGAAAAATCTCAATTTCAGGCAGATTACGATTGACCTGCGGGCCGACTAAGAACAGAGCGGTGGCGATGAAGAGCGAAACGGACGGACGGATGCGGCTGCTAAACGACGCTCTATGAGGATCAGATTTCACATGACAGCACAAAACCAACCACCGATCTTTCCTACGCCGCTGTCTTGCCGGCGAGGTAAGCAGCAAGGCAGGAGGTTTCAACGACAAACGGTAAAAGATAGGGTATGCAGAGGAAGAATCAAGAAACGGTAAGGTTGAGCCTAGGTCGATGGTTCATCGATAAGTAGAGTCATATATGGCTCTCAAGGAGGTAGTTGTATTGGATGAAATTTCCCTTGTAGTATCGAACTGACAGGCAGGACTTGAGGGGCGTGAAAATTGCTTCAATGATCTTCAGGAAAGTCAGGCATGGGAAAATTTATTATACCTTCTGAAAATTTTTCAATATATCCGCAAAATTCCGAAGGGTTTACAGAAATTTTGAATTCCTTTCCGTGACTAACGTAGGCAGTATACCCTCCTCTCCACGACGACATTCAGGGTAAGTGCAAGGTCTTGAAACAGGTGTGGCTTCAGGTGGAATAGAAGACGGTCGGAGCAGGACCGCCTGGAGGACAGCAGTCCCAGTTCCTGAATGTACTTCCCTGGTTCTCTTCGGATTCGGGAGTGTAAGATGAATACAGAAAATCCTGAAACGCAATTGAATTCTAAACTGAAAATTTCAAGCCTAACAAAATTTTGAAATTGAATTTTAATTAATTGAATTTTTAATTTTTGAATACCATGATGGAATCTACAACGCCAGCGTAAGAATTTCGCCTAGGGCGAATGGGCGACAGCAATGAAAACAAAGCCGGTAGCGTACGTTTTGAGTGGCACCCACTCATGAGTGATCAATATTGACTAGAAACACGGACGCAAAAATTGAGTTATCAATAATGTTTCATTGCCGGGAAATCATCAGCTTCAGGCTCGTAATAACTTCGTATAGCCCAGGTTCAATGTTTGGAAGCCTTAATACCCAGATATCGGAACAATGAGGACGCCGCGATCTTTAATTCTAAGGAAATTTTGAAACAAATTTGTTAATAGATCTTTGAAAAATTTTAATATGCTGGACCAGCGTGGTGGGAGAACCTTTTCCCATAAGGCCCACGTATCTTAAAAATTCGTTGTCTTGGCTACTATAGGAATGAAGAGATGAAGAATAGTTTCACCTATGATGTAGGACTTTGTCAGGAGCAAGTTATAGAAGCATGAAAACCGCTTCGTGGGCTCGAGAAAATTAGTTAAGGGCGATTATAAGATAAGAAGCACGGGGGCGTGAAGAAGTGACCAGCGAAAGAAAAGCTTCACGTTTGGAGGAACCAAACTGACTGGATCAGCCTCAAAAAAGATGCATCACACTGACCACAGGGAACACAGGGAGGTTCACAACGCAAGGTAGAAAAGCGAGAAGAGGAATCACGTCAAGTTTCCTAGTGACAGAAAGTGAATAACAGGAAGTAATGGAGAGCTGGAGCATAGCGATCAGAGAGGGTGTGGTACTGGAGTGAAGTCCACTCGGTTGAAATCCTGGGGTCCAACGTTCCAGACCGTATTCACCTTGCACTCCATTGTTTTCAGTTCCTTCTGCAATCCCAGTTTTTTTGAATCGTAAAACTGAGAAATAAAGATAGGAGTGAAAAGAAGAATGCATGTATTGTGTATCACGAGGCGATAGCCAAAAAAGATACGCCGCTTTAATCTAGCAAAAAATCCGACATCAAATGATGTACATGCTAAATAAGGTGGAGCTTAACTATGCGGGGCATATTCAAGCATAAGCAGAAGGTTATTATTGCCATTAGAAAACCTAGTCGATCTCCACCTACAGTAAACACAATTTGAAAACTGCGAAAGAAACCTTCCACAATGGAAACAATGGTAGGTACAGCTAAGTAACTCGACGATGGGTTGATTTCGTAGTACATTACCCGATCGGCTTCGTCACAAACAATGACGAGAGGGAGGGGCGTTGTGCCTCAGTGGGAGCGGGAGTGAAGGTGATGGCGACTAATTGACATCCTAGCACCTATTCTCAGGGAAGATCTCACACATCCGATTGCATGCCTTCAGTAATGACACCGATGTCTGGGCACCTGCCGGGGCACTGACATCGCTGATAATGTCTGATGATGATAGACAGGCGGCCTAACGGAAACAGGTTCATTCCGTTCATTTTGAGCAGCTCTAATTGGTCCCATCCCTATCTTACGCTTCTCAGACTATCCATCCCTTATGAATATATAGAGCATGCCCATTTGCCATGCTTAGTGGAAGGAGACAATTTCCTAAAGGTTAAGCCATGCGTTCAGCAACCATCCGTGCTTGCATAGATGTTTGAATGCGCACTGAACACTAATTTGATGATGCGAGGATCTCGTCGTAGCCTTGTTTGTCGTATAACTTCGTATAATGTATTGTAGATCGATGGAGAAGGTTCTGATAGAATTTCTGACTAGGTTTTGTAGAGATCGCGCTATATGGTGTGCCACGACAAGCTACCATCGTCAGCTATGCGAGCTATTACGATGCGAATACGTGGCGCATCCTCATGAGATATGTCTCAAGTGCGAAAGTTGGGAAAGTCTATTACGTGGAAGAGAAAGCTTTCGATTTCAAGTGGTGCTTGACGCCGTTCAAGCTTCACGTACCGTCACAACGCAAGCAATACGCAAATAGCCGATAAAACTTCCGTGGCTATATTTAACCATACGTAATTATGTGAGCACCTTTTTGCCGCAGTACCGTATTTTTGTGAGAGAAATCAGACCGTCAGGGCGGCTGTGAGCTTCAAAGTTTGCAGCGAGTGGTGCGCAACTACCGCGGCAAATGTTTAGTGGATACAAAATGAGAGAACTTAACCGGAGCTTCATTCGCACACCTGTAGATTTTATCCTTATTTAGGGATCCGAGTCTATGGGTGGTACGGAGAAGAACGAGATAAGAATTGGGAATGCTAATTCTATTAAAGCCCGAAATCTGACTGAATGAATCAAGTGCACCTAATTCATCCTGACAGGCAAGTGACGCCAAACACTAAGACACTTTAGAGCCCAAGAAATATTTGAAGCCATCGGAAAACAGAGGGAATGGGAGTTCATTCTGAGGCACACTTCCCAATTCCCTGGATGCGTCCTAAACTGAATGAGTAAAAAAGTGAAGAAATTGCTAGGGATAATGGAAGTGAGGGTCCCACTTTCAGGGCAGTAGAAGGCTCTAGATAGACAGTCTACGAGACACTGGACACCGAGTCGAAAGAACAGACTCAAAAATGAAAGAGCATAGGGGAACGAGCGAGACGCAGACGCCAACACACCACGATAGAGGTCGTGCGTAAATTCATGGGTGCGCATTGATGGAAGTGACAAACCTCTAGCCTTGCTACGCGGCTCCGAGTGGCGAAACTGGCACTATCTGCAGTTGCAGACCCTGCTATTTTATTCACGGAAGGTATTTCCTACAAAGTAATCGCGGAATATGCCTCTGAAGCAAAACACAACAAACAAGTTCGCGGAAGTTTCAGCTGCAAGCATCACGAACCCTGTTTACTGTGCCGGCATACCGCACGGGGCTAAGATGCCCCAAATTCTATACATGAAATGTGATCCTTTGCAAATGTGGATTCTCCGCTACAGCACTTCCTTAGAAAATTCTGTAATCAGAATATTAGGAATTGTTCATTGAGTAAAATACTCATAAGCCCTATGAGGGATACCCAAGCAAGAGGGACAAATTTGGACAAAGTCTCAAACTACAGAAGAACAATTGACCAGTGACAGGGTCACAAAAGAAGGAGGCGTGACAAGTCGTCGAGGTTCTGGGCAAACAGACCCAACCTCTGCTGTATTGTTCTTCAGGAAAACACCAGCACAGAGGTTATTATGAGGCGAGAACTATGACTAAATAAACAAACACGTGCATCCATTGTTATGGCTATGGCACGTAAAGGACCTAGCCCTCACTTAAAATCCTCTTGAATGCATACAAGGATAAGTAGTGAGATCACCATACAGGGAGTCACTCCTTTGACTACCCTCGCTTGGTCAGCCGAGCCATTTGGACTACCTGGGATCATCCAACCAATTGTGATGCGTTCGGTGGACGAAAGGTCAGGCTTACCGCGATCTTAAGGCTGTCTTTGCCTGCTCTATTGGTAACCTGTACATATAGGCTACATTCTTCAAGTCAGTATCGAGGGTTTCTTGTAGGCAGAATTCCCTGATCATGGACGACAGGCAAAGTTGTCTCAGAGCGGTGACGAAGAGAATGAGGCAGAGAGGAGACATCTGGAAGCAATCAGAAAAAAATTTAAATGGGACTGGATCTCCCTAACTCTCCTTCCCGAATTCGAAACCAATTCCTGTTCAGCTAGTTACTTCTTTCCTATTTCTTTTCTGTATTGTCTCTATGTTTTCCTTTATGACTGTCTTATATGGTAGCTTCGCACAGTTTCTCGAATTTTCATACCGCTTGTGGTACGCCTTTGAGGAAGTATTAAAGATAATAACAGTAAATTAAAGTAAAACAAGTAGAAAGAAAGCGAAAATTGTCAAATATGAGAGCAGAATGGCATAAATTGAGATGTTTATTGTGCACAAATAGATGAGGATTCCAAAATATGTCCCGGGTTATTGCCTTTACGTGGAAATGAGCGCTTTCGAATGTGCTTAATGAGACAATGAAAAACAATCGCTGCTGGATGGAAAACAGATCGAAAATGCCACGTCAAGGGAGAGTGCAGGCTAAATATGGGAGTAGCAATACACCTGCAGATCGCTTGGGAACACAGGG